GTTACTAGAACACCTTCTTCCACCAGCGTAATATCGCTAAAATTAGAAACATCTTATCTAAAAATGATACAGAAAAATAGGTTAATACTTTTAACATGTCTAGACTGGACTATTGCAATGGTTTATTATCTGGGTGTCCAAATATTTCTTTAAAATGTCTTAAGTTAAAATGTTACTGTCATAACATTAACTGGAGTTAGTAAGAGAGACCATATCTCTCCAATTTTAGTTTCCCTCCACTGGCTCCCTCCCAAGTTCAGAATTTAATTCAAAATCTTACTCCTAACCTACAAAGCCCTCAACAACCTAGTTCCATCTTATATTCAAGATCTTATTGTTCCATATTTTCCCAACAGAGCACTTAGCTCTCAAAACGGCTATTTCGTGGTCCCTAGAGATTCCAAAAGCAGAATGGGAGGAAGATCTTTCAGTTATCAGGCTCCTCTCTTGTGGAACAAACTTCCAGTTTCTGTCTGTGAGGCTGACACATTGTCCAGTTTTAAGACTGGACTTAAGACTTTCCTTTTTGATAAATCCTATAATTAGGTTTGGCTTGTTATGCTGCCTTAAGCTTAGACTACTACAGCACAAATTGGCCTAATTTCCTTAAATGAATTACAAAAATTGAATAGTTTTCATTTGATATTATTCATATCTTAACATGTGATTGTTGACCCTAACTATAGGATTTATCAAAAAGGAAAGTCTTAATCCCAGTCTTAAAACTGGACAATGTGTCAGCCTCACGGACAGAAACTGGAAGTTGGTTCCACTAGAGAGGAGCCTGATAACTGAAAGATCTTCCTCCCATTCTGCTTTTGGAAACTCTAGGAACCGCAAGTAAACCTGCAGTCTGAGAGCTAAGTGCTCTGTTAGGAAAATATGGGACAATAAGATCTACAAGATGGAGCTAGGTTGTTGAGAGCTTTGTATGTTAGAAATAAGATTTTGAATTCAATTCTGAATTTGACAGGGAGCCAATGGAGAGAAACTAAAACTGGAGAGATATGGCAGTGGTGTGGACTCCAGTCACATGACTTGGACTCAAGACAGACTTGATTAATATTCTGACTTTAAACGTGACTCGAAAAAAAATTCAGAGACTTATGACTTGACATGGACTTTTACACCAATGACTTGGGACTTGACTTGGACTTTGACCTGTTTACTTGAAAATACTTGATATTTTAACCATAACCTAAAGTTTAAAACCTGTAGTAAAATTTGTTCTAGGTTGGTTGGAGCTCCACGGATTCAGCGGAATCGTCCTTTCATTCAATCCGATGCAGCCTGGTTTCAGTCAGATGCACTCAATCTGCCCCCTCCTCCGAGGCGCAACGGTTTGCTTAGGGATCGTCAATAAATTACCAAACCAAACATTCTTGACTGACACAAAACAGTCCAGCACTACAGCTAAGTCACTACCTGGATATTGCTGATGGTCAGAATGCCGTCTTGTTCTGGGCAATGAGCATGCAAACTCTTCTTTCACTGTTTCATGTGGCCCCCAGAGTTTTGGCAGTACCTGCATGTAGCGCTCCAGTGGGAAGCCTTTTCAGCTTTGGCGGCATCATTCTATTTTTTTTTTTTTTTTCATTTAGCCTTTATTTATCCAGGTTAGTCTCATTGAGCCACAAGAACTCATTTTCAAGAGAGACCTGTTTAGGGAGCACATGGTGGGGGTTAAGGGCCTTGCTCATAGGCCCAGAGTGGGGCGAATGAGGGGCCTCATCGTGCACAAAAGACTGACAGACTTTTGGCCAGTTTAGTCTTTTGTAAATGCAATGCAGAATATGCCAACTGAAATACCTTAAAGTGCACATTCAGGTTCAGTTCATATATTTGTTTTGTTTCTCTGTCACTCACACATGGAGACATGTTCATGCTGCTGTTTAATATATTGTATTCAAAAACACAAAGTTTGTTTTCTCAGTCATCCAGGTATATAACAACAAAAAAAAAGGTTGAATCATGTCATCTGGACTTCGTTTTTTTGTTAAAAAGAAACGTTTCGCCCCTCATCCAAGAGGCTTCGTCAGTCTGAGGCCTAGCCATCTGGTATTACCCAGAAGCCACCCTGACTCTTGTGTTTCAAGCCTGCCTCAGATACCCCTGAAGTCTGGCCTTTTCACTAATGGTTTCAAAAACACAAAGTTTGTTTTCTCAGTCATCCAGGTATATAACAACAAAAAAAACATGATTCAACCTTTTTTTGTTGTTATATACCTGGATGACTGAGAA